GAGTTTGATGTTTTCACAATGCAGCAGTGTAGTGTACTCTTCTATGGTGGGCACCATGTCTTCCCGGTTAAAGGTGAAGCAACTGTATCCCGGGTTCCAGAATTGAACCAAGGCTCTAATTAAAGGCTCATCAATCTTAACATGAAGCAAAAGTGCAACATCACCGTACCGTTGACTGAACTTCTGTTTCACCTCATTCTTCCAACTGTCCCAGATATCCCGGAGCTCTTGTACGTCATTCTGCTTTAGGCTGATCGAGGCGTAGCTAACCAGCTCTGACACATAGCTGTCTTGAAGACTGTCTCCCTTTTCCTTCTGAGTCTTCTCGGACCATAGTCGTACCTCAGGGTTTTTAATCTCTTGTATTACAACACCTTTATCCATTAATTAAGATTATTTTGTGCGTAAAGAACGTCTTTTTAGGGATCAATGGCCTCTTGTTATGATGCAAATGCTAAAAATAAACACAAAGGCAAATGGTTAGTAAAATAAAAATAAATGGAAATAAATAAAAACAACAAAAAATAAATGGCAATAAAAACATAAGAAAAAACAAATGATTAGGAAACAATTGTCCTAGGTTTTGGAATGTGGTTTTGGGGTAGGCTCTATTTCTTCGAAGTCTCCTGGTTTAGGTTCTAAAAACGGTACCCGAGTTCTCCTTGCTGGTGCCCCCTTGGGCTTACCAGACCCTTAGTCCTAAACCCATCACAGGCTTGTGTGGACTAAGTTAAACTCGAGGGGACACATTCCCTTATGTCTATGCGGAGAATAAATTCACACGAAGACATAAGGTATATGAATCCCGAAGGCTACTTGCTAGGCATATGCGGTGAATAAATTCACACGAATGCGTCGCTTTCACCCCCACTTAAAGGGTTCGGAGCTCGGGTATAGAGCCTTTGGATGAAAAAGTTTGGAAAACTGAAATCATTAGAAAACGGTCAGTCCAACTATTTACTCGAAAAAATATAACCAAAAGTAAGTAATAAGGATCGAAATGTTACCTTAAAGTTTAAACTTACCCTTTTCATTAAAAAGACAACTGGAAATTACCTTAGCCTGACCCACTTACCTGTATCCCCAGCGGAGTCGCCAAGCTGTCGCAACCGTCTTTCGGTTGGGCCCCGGAATTGGGCTTCGACTTAGGAAAATGGATTGGAGTCGCCACCGATCATTTATTTTAAGAATAAAACGGGTTGATCGGATACCCTATTTCTTACCTGATCTGCGTCTTACCAGAGATGTGTCGGATTCGGGAGTCGGTTACAGTCAAGGAAGGGCTAGCACCCTTGAACTGCCCTTTCGGTACTGTGTAATTTCCAGTTGTCTTTAATTAAGAAAATTGAAAGTTAAATTACAAGGTAAAATATTGATCCAAAATGCTTACCACTGATTGTTTGAAGTTCTCTCAAAAAGCCAAGGAAAGGGTTAGGTAATGAAAGTAATAAAATAGAAAAATAAGGCGAACAAACGAAATAATATAAAAAATCAATGTACACAAAAAAAAGGAATGAAATATGACTAAATATAAAATAAAATATGCAAAGAAAAAAACGAGAATACAAATAACGAAAAAAGAAGAAAAAATATAAATGGATAAAAAATACACATAAAAAAAATAAAATATAAAACAATGAAAATGAAAAAAAAAAATATGTGTAATATACATATAATAAAAATAACAGTTATAATAGTAAAAAATAGTAATGAAATGATAATGATGAAAATAATAAATAAAAAAAAATATATATATATATATGTAGAATATAAAAAATACATAAAAGATATAAAAAAAAAAGTAAAACAAATGAGTAATACATATACGTATATAATAATAAAAAAATATAATATAATAGCATAAATAAATAAATAATAATAATAGTAAAAAGTAAAAGGGGAAAATAAATAAAATAAAAATGGAATAAATAATTAATGAGTGAAACGAGAAATATATATATTAAAGTATAAAAAAAAGAAAAATATCAATAATAGGTAAAATGAAAATATATATATATATGTATATACATACATAAATACAAAAAAAATAAAATGTTAATAGAAATATAATTATAAGATAAAATGAGTAAGGTTGGTAAATAATATAAAAAAAAATAAAAAAAAATACATATATAACGTATAAAATTATAAGATGTAGTAGCTAGATAAAGAAATGACCAAAAAGTTAATTAAAATAATATGTATTAACACTAAGTATATAGATGAAATATATAGAAAATACGTATATATATACATATATAATTACATGATATGGAATGAATAAAAAAGGTTAGCATAAGTATTAAATTGAATCAAAAACAAGTTAAGTGGCTAAATTGAAAGAAAATCAGAAACCGAGGCTGAATCCTAAAGAAAACTGAGTTCAAAATTGAAATTAGGGACCGAATCGAGCCCTTAACAAGACGAGAGGACCAATCGTGTAGTTTCTCCTTTTGTTACGGAAAAAACATACGGATTTTTTAGTATATCATTTACAAATGTTTTGTAAAAATCATTCATTCTCTCAAATAGCCGAGCCCCTCCCCTTCTCTTCATTCTCTCGTCTGCTCTTAGGCCATGAAGAACACTGGCCGTGGATTCCCAGAAAACGACCTTACGCCGCCTCGCCGGCCGCCGTTGGTTGGCGCCTGGCGCCGATCATCGGCGGCAAATCCTGAAAAATTCGTTTTTTTGACAGCCCCTCTCTCCCCCGACTCAAATCTCAAATCTGTTTTTTGAAATAGGCCTCGGGGGAGGGTAGATCCGAGATCAAAGTCTCAATCCCTCCCCTAAAAGTTCATCGGCCAAAAACGTTTTTTGGGGTTCGATCTGAACCAAAAGCGACGGATAAGAACACAAGCAAGGATCACTCGAGCAAGAAGGTGAGCAAAGATATACCTTTCTTTTATTTCCACTTCAAAAAAAAAATCTTACAAAAAAAAAACGCCTTGGTTGCTTTGAGTTTCCTGGTATTTTCTGTTAACCCCCGTAATCTCCCCTCCCTCTCGTGAGAATTACATCTTTATTTATAGTATAAAGAGAAAACTATATTTAGAATCCTATCTTCACTAGAATCCTAATGCTTGTTGTCTTCTCTTATGATTTGTTGGTTTGTTGCCGAGAAGCATGGAGACGTGAGGATAAGAGGCCTTCGGTGTGGAGGAGTCCTTGAGCGAAGCATGCGGCGCTGGATGGGGGAAACTGCTAGGGTTGCGCGTGTTGGGTTTGGGTCTGGTGCTGTTGGGCCCTGAAAAGAAAAGAAAAAAAATGTAATAAATATATAATATAATTTATAATATAAATATATATATATATAAGGACGAAATTTAGTGTATTCACTTCACTTTCATTTTTTCCTTATATTTTAATTCTCTTCACATAGAAATACATGTCAACTATCGTTATTTTACCAGTGACGATTTTTCGTCCAAATTAAAAAAGATAAATTGCCAACAATCGAAGAGATAAATTTATTCTTATCAACACTTGTTAAATCTAATAAAATCGTAAAATCAATAAAATTCTTTTATTAAATATATTATTCATGTAAGGAAAAAAAACTCTCCATTCAGAAATGTGCTTAGGTGTCACTTGTGATTAATTCATAACATGTTGTAAATTTCATTTAGGTGATATTGTTAATTATTTTTGTTTTGTATTTTAAACAAAAAATGAAAAATAATTATGAAATAAAAAAGAAAGTAAAATATGGAACATGAATAATTTAAGAAACACAAGAATGGTATGGGAGAGAACAAGAGAATGTAAAATGGCATCTTAGAACAAGAGAATGTAAAATGGCATCTTAGAATAAGTTAATGCAAATGGCATTTGTCTTTATCTTTCCACATTTTAAATGTCTTTTTTTTTCAAATCTCTAAATTCAGTTTCCAAATTGTTATTTACTTTATTTCTCTAGTTTCTCTATTTTTTCATCTTTGTTAATCGGAGATGACAATAATCTTAATGTTAATTATCAACTGTTGGTATTTTTTATTATATTTTTATTTTTTTTATATTACACTTTTATTTTATTTTATTTTTTAACTTTTAATAAGTCTGCTTTTATGACACATTTTTCTCTGTTCTTTTGCACATTTTCGATCGATTGACCATTATTTTTATTTTATCTTTTTTAAGGATTGATTTGACATCGTCACGACTGTTCAATATGGTACTTATATGTTATCATGTTGATCTTCTCTGATTTGGACCCTCTAATTAGATTTGGATATTCGGTTTGCGTTCTTGGATAATTTTTTTGTGTCACTTGACTCTAATTTGCGGCTTTCAGTAGCTTGATCATCTTTTACGGTTCGTTTGTCGATACAATCAGATCCGTTTGTATATATCCTTGTTTGATTTTTGATTAAATTTTTTAATCTTTCTTTGTATGGTCTTTATGTGATCTTAAGTTGTTTAATTTGTGTATCAATGATTTTAGAAAAATATCCTAATTATGTACTTAATTTTCATTATAATTTGAGATATTTTATTTTTTAAATAATACTACTGACTTCTAAAAAAAATTCCAAACTATAACTTAGATCATATTCTTTGGGAGAATGAATTTTACAAATATGTACAGTCGTGGAGAATATTACATCTACTATGTAGTTAGGTGTCAAAAAGAAAACATAATAAAGATTTACCAAATTTTATGAAATAAATGAACTGTACAAATACTTACAATTGAGTGAAAATGTTGCATCTAGGTACCCAAAAGATAATATACCAAGATTCTTCAAATTTATTAAATTTACCAAGGATATAACATATTATATTTTTAATTTAAATTTTAAAAATAATAACAATCTCTATATATTAACCCTGACATAAACATGGAAGAACAAAAAGAATTTTATTAAGCATAAACTTGATTTAATAAATCAAGTCATCGATTTCTTGAGAATTTTCATTTTGTTTCAATTCAAAATACCAAACAATTACACAAATTTAAGAAATTCCTCTCCTCTCCCATACCCACCCCTCTTCCATTTTTTTGTCTATTATTTATTGCCCAAACCCAAACCCAAACCCAAACCCAAACCCACCCGGCTGAGTTGGGTACCGGAATCCATACGGGTTGATCGAGTTAGAAAAGTTCTGGGTCATCAACCCACTCGAGTTTTGCTGGAAAAGAACAGAGTTATCAACACGTTGAGTCCTGAGTCCACTCTGTACTTCCTCTTCCACCGAGTCACCAACTTTACGCGTTGACATATCCATGGGCATCGTGGAAGCATACAAGTCATTATCTCCATAACTCGGGAGCCCTGCTGCAAGACTCGCCCAATCCAGCTGGTGGAACCCCGTTTTCTCGTCATTCTGAAGCGTTTTCAACGAGTTCACTCGTTGCAGAGCAAAGAAGCGATCGTCTAACTCGGGGAACGACTCAAGCATGTCCTCGAGTTGGGAAGAAGAAGACGATGTGAAGCCATTGTTGTCATGCTCTTTGGTTGGTACAGTTGACAGTGATTTTTGAGCACCTGAATTCTTCTTGTATATTCTACATAAAACACAATCATCCAACTGCAACAAAAACAACGATAATTCTTCAAGTTAATGAAGTTTCCTCTGATTGTTATTTTACTAGAAAATGTTAACTATAGCTAGGGATGGGCACGGTTGGTTTTGGTTGGCTGACCCAAAAATTTTACCCCTCCACCCAACCCGACCTGACCCGAAAAATCTACACCCTCCACCCGACTCGACCCGATCTCAACTCAACTTTTTAAGATAAAATTCAAATCCGACCCGATCTAAAATAATAAAAAAATATTATTTTTTGTTCAATAAAAATAGGGATTTAATTGAAAAAAAATAATATATAGAGAGTTATTATTGTAATTATCTTAAATATATAAGGTAAAATTATATTTTTTTCCAAGTTGATTCAGGTATTTTTCACCCTAAACCCGAACCTGGCCCGAACATCACGTTAAAAACCTAACCCAACCCAAACCAATTTTTTTAAAAAAACTCAATCCGATCGGGTCGCAACTCGTCGGGTTCGGGTCTCATGCCTATCCCTAACTATAGCCTCATAACATTAGTTAAAATGATATTTACAAAACTTATAGCGTAAACTACATGTTTAGTGCCCTAACTATCACATTTGTTCTACTTTTGTCACCTAACTATTTGTTTTTCAAAATCATACCTAATATTACGTTTTGGTTTCATTTTGATCACCCGCCGTTAAAAAAATAATATAAATGTTGACATGGCTTTTTTTAAAGAAATATTCAATGATGATGTGGTACTACGTTATGATGACACGTCAACATCATCGTTAAATTTTTAATGGTGAGTGACCAAAATGAAATCAAAACATAATGTTAGACATGATTTTAAAATGTAAAATAGTTGAGTAACCAAAACGAACAGAAGTGATAGTTGAAATATTAAACATGTAGTTTACCCAAAATTATAACTAATACATTCTTTAAAAATTCATAAATAAAAAAGGCATAAAAAACATGTTATAGTATGCAAGCTAGAGGTTTAGAAATGATAAAATATACTACCTTGGAGCTACCAGTTTTATGGGAAGTTTCCAAGAGTCTATATTCATGCATGATCCAATTAGTCTTGGTCCCTTTAGGTGCTTTTCCGACGTAAAAAACTAGAGCTTTCTTTATGCCAACTTTCCGGCCATCCGTCATGATAATTTTATCAGTTCCGGTAGCTTTCCAGTATCCAGAACCGGCAACTCTGTTCGGTCGTGACCCGTTCGGATACTTCCGGTCTCTCGGACTGAAAAAATACCATTCTTTTTCACCAAATATAGCTTTACCTATGCAAAATAATGGTATAGATTTTGATTAGCCAAAGAGTAAAGAAGCAAAAAAAAAAGAAAAGAAAAGAGAGGTTGACACTTATTGTTGGATTTGATTAAACTTACTTGGTAAAACCCATGGATCAAATTTGTATAAATCAATTTCACCAATGATTTGCAGAGAAAAATGATGCCCTGCAACTTTCCTGCATAAATACTGCACTAAAAGCTCTTCATCCGTTGGATAAAACCGGAATCCTGGTGGCAAGCTCAATTGAGCCAATGGGTCAGTTTCCGGCACTTCCATGATCAGAATTTTCTCGACGACCAAACAGAAAATGTAGTTCAATTTGATTAACAAATAAAAGAGCTGTTCTAGCCGGGGGCGGGGAATAGAATGAGAAAATTTGACTTTTTTTAGTGTTGGGATTGGGAAGGTATTTAAATACAAGAAACCAATAGTGTTGACCGTACGGTCGTCTTTGTCTTAATTTCAGAAATGGAACACCACTTTGTTCTTATCACCATTAAAAGACTGCCACGTGGCTAACATTTTGCGGCCGACCTTATCCGACCAAGGGGGTGCATGAACCATCATAAACTACGCAAGAGTATCAATGCTTAAAACACGTGTCCTTTAATAAGTTAACATCAAATTTATATTATCGTTAATTTTTTAATGAAAAATATAAATTTAAAATAAATATATAATAAAATAATTATTTTATAATTTTAGATAATAAAAATTTTAATAAAATAATATTTTATAATTGTGATTAAGATCGAATTATTAAAGACCTGGAGGGGCTATGCCCCCAACCTGGAAATTGTTTTTACCTTTAATTTATATATATAAGTTAAATATTTTTGAGATAATTATGAATTATTTCATACTTTTATAAAGAATATACTTTGTCATTCTCAAATTAAGATATTAACTTCGTCTTTCTCAGGAATTATTTATGTATTTTATCTTAATTTTTTTTATATTTATATATGAATATAATATTATTAAAATCTCATCTAAAATATCACATATATATATATTTGATAAACTTATAGTTTGTATTGTGTTACATAATATTTAAAATTATTAAATGTTGGAGCATTAGCCAGCTATTGCGTACAAATGTGGGAGTTAGGCTAGATTTTTTATGCGAATATCAATTTAGGACAAAAAAAGAGGGGGGAAACTGGTGGCCATTTTGATAGGTGACACGTTCACTCGACTTTTCTCCGTTTCTTTGTTTGTCTTTTTCCTCATTTGGACTAGGGTTTTTTCACTCGATAACTTGTATGGATGGTTTTGCATGCATTACATGGGTTTGGACCATTTTTTTAGTAGTTGTAGCATATTAAAACAATTTTGATTGGTCTTCCAAAGAACTAGATCCTTCTCGGCTTTTTTTTCTTTTACTGTTTATTCAAGTTTAATGTTTATCAAAGTATATAACTACATATGATTTTATGATAGGAGAGAGAATCTTTAAAATTTTAGAAGAGATGAATTTATTAATTTTTTGGAATGAAAATAAATTATCAATAAAAAATATAAATAAGAGCTTAAAATATATGATAATTTAAAAAAATTAAAGATTGTTTATCCTTATAAAACTAGGTTTTTATGTAATACATTTTCAATTCTCAATATTGTAAGTTCATCATAAATTATCCAATTCTATCTATTGCTCATTTAATTAAGGCAAAAGGGTAACTTTTGCCCCAATAATAGACCCAATTTATCAGTTTCACCTCTATCGTATTTTTACATCAATTTAGCCCTCGAAGTTGCTCAATTGTATTATTCTATAACCCTAACCCTTACTTTTTGAAATCGTAAATTATAATCCCTAAACCATAACCTTATCACCTCTAAACACTAACTTATGGTTTATAATTTAGGGTTTCAAGTTAGGGGAAGGACATAAAATGATGCAATTAAATAATTTTGATGGCTAAATTGATGTGAAAATATGAGAGGGGCAAAAATAATAAATTTGGTCTCCTATAAGGGCAAAGATGACCCTTAAGTATTTAATTTATTATTATTTACTAATAAAATTAGGGTTTTATGACACGAATTAGCTGATGGCTTTACTGTAACACCCTCGGACCGATGCGGGTGACCCGATCTGAGGTGCCACATTAGGGCCACCGAAGTACCCAGCGTAAAAAATCACAGAAAATTTAAAATTTTGTTAAAATGCTTAAAATCATAAAACAATTTATAACTACAAAAGTAAAATTTACGAATATTCAGAAATAAAACATATTTTAGACTCGTATATAAAACAAAATACAACCTTCATGCCCCCTAATTACATGCATCGTACTTTACAAGCAACGCCAATGGTGAGTAACAGAGTGAGCTTTGGGAAGCTAAGTAATACAGAACTACCAGATGATGCTAAAAAACATGTAGATAAATGGAAAGTCATAACACTAACTTGTTGATTCAGATGTCTACAGGTTTTCAGGATGAGTTGCGGTTCCACTGGTATTTCTTCGAGTAAAAGCCATGAAGATTTTAATTCATAGGAAACATTCAGAGTACCATGTTTTCAGGAGATTGGAATAAGATGTCTAGTGTGTTCCAACCAAAACCAGCGAAAAGATATATATCTTTTTAAAACAATAAGCATTTAAAACATATTTTTAAAACCATAGTAGAACCCTCCAACCGAACACCGTTATGCATTTCCCCAGAACTGCATCCATAATGACTTACCCTAAGCACACAATAAAGGGAGCCACCCTAAGGGAATGCCTTGGGGCCCGAGAGACTACCCAAGAAAGTTTCTCGGGGCCTCGGAGCCTACCCAAGGGTCACTTTAGGTCCATAAGGATTTACCAACTTGATCAGAGCTGAACCTCCATACTCCATAATCCTACCCATACCTAGTAGAAATCAGATTTAACAGTAACCAATAATATATGGATCATGATCCAGTAAAATCTCGTAAATGTGCCAATGAAATAAATCATATAATTGCCCTCTACCCGTATACCATATGTAGTCTCATGATTAACCCAAAGGAGTGCCTTGGGGCCTGAGAGCCTACCCAAGAAAGTTTCTCAGGGCCTCAGAGCCTACCCAAGAGTCACCTTAAGTTCGTAATGATTTACCAGTCTGATCAGAGCTGAACCTCCATACTCCAGCTTACCCAAATAATGTACCCAATAAAACAATTCAAGTAGTAACCAATGAAAACATGAAACCATAGTTCATAAACCAGTAATATTCCATGATTCCATAAATCATGAACAAAAATATTTTCAGTGAAAACTGTAATCAGAGAACACATACCATGTAGCCATGGTTCATAAGCCAATAAATACATAATTTTTGGTAAAACACATTTCAAAACATATAAAACAGTCATGTACTACATGGGGAACACGCTAGAGGATCCAAGTATCTTTCAGAAGCACTTGGTAGTTATCAGGAATGAAAAACATGAAACTTATGTAATTTGATCGAATTCATAGAATGAGGTCCTATTAAAAGGGATCAATTACTAACGGATCATAAAAAAATTTAAAGTTGATACTTCAGGACCCCTTTATGATTCAGGTGCATTAGGAAGGACTTCAGGAAAACTTTACATCAGAATAATTCAATATTCAAATTCACTATGAGTGATTCCATTATTCAGACCAACATTGACATTTTAGACATTACGATTTCTAGTGGATTCTTATAAACGTAATCTGATAAGGGTGAAACGATGATTCATGGTATTCAAGATTGATGTCAATTTATTAAGATACCAGGTCAACTCAAACTGAACAATTCCCAACAATGTGATACATGTCAACCACTAAAATCGATGCACTTCAAGAATATTCACACTTTAATACTGACAACATTAGTAGATATGGTCATCTTCAGAACCATCGTTGAACGGAGCTTGAGGAACTCTACTTATTTCAATGGTATTTTCTTTATTTATGAATTACAACAGTCTCCAAGATGACCAACGTACTTAAGTCGTACTCCACAACCTGTAGGGATGATACAATACTTAGGTTTTCTCGGAGTCTCTAGAGTAATTCTATCATTTCCACACTTCGAATACATATAGTACTTCCATTCATTTCAACTTGGTCATATAATATAATCATTTTAGAACTTGAGGGTATTTAGTTATTTCGGGGCTTGGACGTACTTCGGGTCATTTTACACTTCAAGTGCATTTCAAATAGATCAGGAAATTAAATCGATGATTACAAGGTTCAAGTGGATCCATATATAAGTTCTCAGGTCATATCCATTATTATAGCCATCCATTGTGCTTTTTATACATTAATGTATCATTTTCATTTCATTCAAATCTGTCAATGACATTACTTATGATTTATTAGACTTCAAGTATTCTAGTTCCTGTATAGTTTAGGGTATTTGTTCCTTTGATCATTGGAGGTTATTTTCACCACCAGGGGAAGTCTTGGTCCTTTTACAGTACAAGAGCATTTTCATAATTTTACCCAATAGTGTTATTTTTGACAATTTATTATCCAAATATTTCTAACATTTAACCTTTAATGAGATTAATCAGAATTTATGAGTTATAAGATTGATTTATTTTCTGATTAAATCATTGAACTGAGATTTGTTTCCGATCGGTCTACAAATTTCTTTTTCGATCAGTCAGAGTCTTATACAATGTTCTGTCTTTATTCCAATTTTCGTTTGAGTCCTATGATAGTTAAATACACCTAATGGACCAATCATTTCCATTCATGCATTTTTCATTTATCAATGAGTTTCGAAAAGCATACAAAAGGTAGTAGAGTATTACCTCAATTTTCGTGCCATATTGATCGATCATTTAAACTCTATTCAATCACCCTCGAACTTTAATTCAACTTCCAATAATTCCTCAGATACATAGTAAACAATTTTACATCAAAAACTAAACTTAATCGGAAAAACAAATTTGATTCCGAAGATAAAACATCGAAAAGAAGCTTACTGAGTATGAATTTGGTAAAATGGACTGGATTCAGACTCAGGACGTCGAAAAACATAAAATAAGATTTTTGGAAAATTTTAACTTTTTTGGTCAATGTCAACGGTCAATGGTCAAAGTAAAAGTTCAAAGTCAACAGGTTGACTCGGCCAAGATAACTCAGTACGAGTTAACTCCGTCGGGTCAAACAAACCTGGTTCAGACCGGGTTAGGCCAGTCCAGACCATTCTAGAAGACTTTCATGGACGTGGGAGAGCCCCACATGCACACGACAATGCGTGGTGCCGCGTGAAACACTGACAAGAGGCGGGTTGGACAGTCGAATACTCCAATGCACCTACAAATCACTACCAAGCCATTTCAACACTTAATAATAGGCTATATTCGTCATAATTTAAAACAAATGGGCTA